CTCATTCTTTTTTACAATGTCCATAGTCAGATTTTAAGAACAGGGCTCCTGAACCATGTCCTCTTCAGAACGCTGCAGAAATGAGATGCCGTTGAGTTGAAGAAGATCGGGAGAAGAATGCCACCTCTGTACTATGTGTGAGCTCTCTCATGGCAGGGGGATTATACTTGTGCGATGTGGCCTCAGCAGTTAGAGCAGGAATTTTAGGATTGAAGGTAGAAGGAGACCTTCTCAGTTCAATCCTTTATCATAGTAAAAGCTGTCTGAAGAAAGCATTCCCAGAAACAGAATAAGGGAGTAGGCCCTCACTTAGGGATAAAACTACTACAAAGGGTTAGCCTGAGAAGTCTGCGGCTCAGTGCCAGGCAGCTGGCAAATTCATACCCTTCTTACCCTGGGAGATATTCACACAGAATTTGACTCACCATCCCTGGGCAGAGTCAGAGCGAGACACTCAGTGGGTTTGATAAACTAGATGGTTGTCACTTCACAATGCAAACTGTATGTCATTGGCCAAGGAAAATTGCTTAACACAGGCTCTGGGACCAGCCATGGTGATGTTTCATTTTTGATTCTTCTTGATTCAATCTCATTCTCTTTAAAAGACAATAATAACAAATTGGCTGTGGAGTTTGAATAATACCCCCCCCAAATTTAGACAAACTGAAAGCAGTGAAACAGCTTGAATGAAATATGGGGATGAAAGTCAGCATGGTGTGATCATCAGATGGTGAGAAGACCCCACTCATTGACCCCAGGTGGCTGTTAGTGATTGGTTAGAAATTAGGTTGCATAGAATGAGTGAGAAAAGTCCTCAGAAGACCATAGGTTTAGTAGAGTAAGCATGAGGAGGAGGGCACACACCTTGCCCTCAGGTGGGTGTCTGTAAATACACATGATATTTTAAATAATCTTTTACAGAATTTTTCAAAAATATTTCCTAACTTATACTTAAAACTCACATTGTAATAGTGGAATCTTTTATGCAAATCCTTCTATAACCTAGAAATAAAAATTGTATTGCAGGACAATATATTTCACAAAGTCCAAAACTTGCTTTTCCTCTCCATAAAATTTTCCCTTTGGATTCATAGTGAAGAGGTTTTTCTTGGCTTTTGGAATGCTCTCCTTTATACTTGTATCCCTTATCATCATCTTTGGAGAGTGACTCTGAATCACGATAGTTGCCACATCACTTTATATTAAATCTATGAAGAAGGTGGTATTCAAAATGTGTAAAAGGTTTTGCTTTAAGAAGAGACCCATCAATTTAATGAAACTTATATTCTTGGGAGGCCTGTAGATTGGTTCTGAAAAGGCAAGTGCTACAGAACAGATCTAAAAACATGTTCAGGGCCTCTCTGGTAGTGCGGGGGTTAGAGTCACAGTGCTATCATGCTATCAGCAGCCACTACAGCATGAGTTCAATCCCCAGCCAGGAAGCTACACACATGGTACAGAGGACCTCCCCTGTCTGGCGCTCTGTTTCCCTCGGCAGCGCAGTTCCACCTGTTCTGCTCTCCTGTCTCTGGTGAATCCTCTCACCCTACACACATCTGGCCTGCACCCCAGCTTTTCTGTGCATAACACAATAAAAATAAATCTATAAAAGCATGTCCCAGGCCTATGAAGGAACCAAGACATATCCTCTGAGGACATTCATTGAGAGAGAGTGCCCTTTCCTAAAGGCATACAAAGTAAGAACTGCAGTCAGAAACCACTAGCATCATTTACAGTGATTCAAATACTACAAACTATATTGCAGTTATTCTGTTGCTTAATACTTACAGCTTCCTTGAGACAAAGGACCTTGGCTGTGTTTTTTTGTGCCATTATTCACATGTACCATGGTGGGTACTGGGTTAATGCTGTATTGAATTATATTTAGATTAGAAGACTGTAGGTAATAGCAAACTATTTTTCCTTTGAGAAGGGCAGCATGCTAGTCTTTATTTTCCAGCCTGGGTCAGAAGTTTCTCTTCATTGTTGGTAGAAAATAGGGTTGGGATGTCAGGAAATGTTGGGACAGGTTGGTTGTGGCCATATAGTATAATGTAGCGGATTTGATTATGTTTTCATTTGCACACTTCTAAATTATTGTGGAATTTTGAATTGTATCCCCCTCTAAGAAGGTGCTACTGTTGCATAGATTCACACCTCTTCAGATATGTGACCACACTCACCTTAAATCCATTCTGCTCTTGGACTCATGGGGACACAAATTTTAATCTGAAAAATGTTGACAATAAAATGTGAAACCCCAAGAGAATGAAGGCTTGAAAGTGACCTCACTTTTTGCCCTTGCTGAGTATTTTTGGACCTCTAATGAGGGGATTTAAATTTTTCTATAACTTCTGGTCTGTCAATTCCTTCAAGATACACCAATAAACATGTACAAATGCTTCTAATCTCATAGGGATGCAGAATGAGCCAGGTGGGCAGTTGACTTTAGCAGAAGGCTTTCTTTCACAAATCAGAAATTCCATCCTATATATTCCTATTCCCCCAAACAACTGGCAAGGGGATCGTCAGAATGAGCTATTGCAGAAAGCCCCCTTCGTCTTCACAATTTCATTGTGATAGAGCCCCAGACCAGAATTGCAAAGTAGTTTTAGAGAATCTTGGAATATAAAACACGGCACAGAACACGAAAGGAGATTTCATCTTATTTATAGAAAGGTGGTTGATAGGGGAGGGGACAAGGGAAAGAGTGGCTGGGGGTCATCATTATTCATTTCGTAAGTACCACCAAAGTGAGACCATCCTTCTGGAATTCACTGCAGGGACACTGAATCCTCCTACTAAGCAAATGTATGATGAGTTGATAAAAAAAGAAAAAAGGTCCTGAACTCTTGACTATAGATATAATACAGTGAACACAGAAAATCAAAAGCATGCTTTCTATCTGACTCAAAATAAAGGTGCACTTAAACTTGTAAAAGACAACATTTTTATTTGAATGATATGACAGAACTGTCACAGGAGTGTTACCTGCTATAAAGAAAGCCTAAGAATTATTACCTTTATTAGAACAGTGACACTGAGCTTTCGCCATACATTTCTAACTTCTGTCCCTCTACAGAGACAATTTTCTTTTCTTAAATAAACTGTCATGCTAGTGTTAATATATTGTTGGCTCTCTCATGCTCTGAGAATACTGCTGATATAAAACATGTATATGTTAGATTGGTAATAGTATCTTTAGTGTAGCTGACTAGAACAAATGTGTTTCCCTCATGGCTGTGCTAATGTGATAAAGGAAAATTGGCTGTTCATCAGCTTTTGGCTGGGTAAAGACAGTAGAGATGGAACCACATTCTTTTTTATGCATTAATACCATCGAGAACTTTTCACGAGTTATATTTCATGTGCCTGCATGTTGCGCAAAGATGTTGTAAAACATGAGATAATGCTACAAATAACAAAGTAGAAAAGCCTGTATCTTTTATAATGATAACAGTCAAACACCAAATGACAGTAACAGGCTGTAAAAAATGGAATGCAAAAAAATAAATAAATAAAAAACTAAACACCAACCATGTAGCCCCACTATCCAACAGAGAGGTATCTACCCTGACCCTTAAGGAGTTGGGGTGTGATTTTAGGTCTTAATGTCAAAGCTTTGTCTTATAAATAAATATAATACCAGGTCAGTGAATTCAAGAAAGAAAAAGGTTTAAATGAAAGCAGTTTGTTTAGAAGGAAGAAAAGCCATATGTGTGTGTAACTTTTTGGAGAATTGATATTCCTTAGTCTTTATGTAAAAATCTCAGATTTAATTTAATTTCTATTTTGAGAGTAGGGGATTTCTGCAAGGAATTTTTAAGGTTACTCACAGACACTTTCATCATTTGTTAGGAGGCCTTTTGCTAGAAGAGCTTGTTGAGTGCCACAGTTTGATGTATAATTACACTTAAAATGTTAACCTCTATCTGTTCAGCTGCAAGATACTTTCTCTCCCATTTTTGTTCTGTGATCCTCACCTGAACCTTTTTTGACTATTTTAGACACTTTCCTAATTAGGGTGCAAGTGATTCTTTTTACATTTAAGTTAATAACACTTGAATAAAAATATTTGTAGACCAAAGTTGGTATCAAAACAACTGATAAATTTATTCAGAAATAAAATCAGTGGCAATTGTTTAAAACCACCTACAAAATAGTCTCAGAAAAGTTTGATTGAATTATTTCTTCAGAGGTGACATCATACAAACAAAAACACTGTGATTTTCTAGGGTGTAACCCAGAGATTGGACTACAAGCCTGGGAATAAACTAGCCAGCTGCTAAATAGTTCAATGGGGACACCTGTGTTCGCCTTCACCTCTGTATCTTGTGTGAATGCTCTGTTCGCTGTTTTGTTCTGGTAACAGCAGCTACTGAGTAGCTGTGACCTGTCCTCTTTGGACTACAAAATCAAATCACTTGGCTTGTAAATTAAACCTCAAAATTCTCTGGCTCTTTACAGAAAATTACTAATCCCTGGCAGAGAGTTGCTAGGTGGCCTATTTAATGTATCTGGAATGTGATTGGAAAATTTTTATCTAATTCTATTTGGCGGCGGTAGAGATGAAAATTGCCAACTGAATACTAACCCCTAAGAAATTGAAAGTTTGTGAGACCAATTTCATAACTTGTATTTCTCACCTTTGTATGAATTTATGTCTACTTACATATATGGTTAAACCCATTTAACTAGTATTTAAAGAAACAAACTATCCTTAATTTTTTTTTTTGAGGACATGGCAGTTCGAGATGATAAATGTATGGCACAGAGTTCTGGAAACCTGTGAAGACCCTGGTACATGTGATCACAGCATAAAACGGCAGTGCTTAGTTTTATATCTAGCTGTATAAACACATAGATACAGCATGCATTATAAACTGAGCTCTGCCTTGCCAACTGGAGAAAGAGGAGACTCAGAGAGAGACTGCTGTCATGTAGTTACTATAAATTAAAAGTTATTCAGTTAAAATAATAATGGTACTAATTGCTTACAGGTGCATCAGACAAAAATCAGTTTCTTCATCAATGAGCTGGAGGACGAAAACACAGAATTTGATACCAGAGCTCTAAGTGGTCTACTTACACATTTGGCCTCTGGCCCTCTGCAAATAGGACAAAGCTTTTATGGTAAGATTTTGAATTCACACTGTTTATTGTTCAATTTCATTCTTAGACATGCACAGAAAATACCACATTAAAACATCTAAGGGTATTTGTTTACTAGTATTGTATTGCTGAAACAAATTTGCATGAACAGGGATGGTAGTTTGGTACTATGGAAATTTACCTTCCAGTGGTTCTGGTGCCAGAAGTCTACTTCAGAGACTTTCATTTTTGCTTCCTGCTGGAGGCTCTAAGAGAATTGCCCCCATTCCTCTCAAGTGGCTTCTAACTGCTCGAACTCTGCATTTTGCCTTCCTTGCCACATTGCGTTCTCCTTTGTGTCTTGTCCCCTGTTTGCTTATAGAATACTTGTGGTTAGGTGAGAGGACCACACTAATCCAGTAAAATGTCCTGTTGAGATTCTGACATCAGCAAAGTCCTTTTTTTTTTTTTTCAAATAAGATAAGAGCTCACAGATTCCAATTAGAAGTAAGACTTTGTTAGCTACTACTCAGCTCACTATAGTGAGGAAACTTGAAAACCAGGATGTCTGTGTTATGGTTGATCTGTCAAGTAAGAACAATATGTGACAAGCTATGTTTTCTTTCTCGTTTTTTGGTTTGGAGGTTAATGGTAAGGCTATTGTTAAAGCAAGACAAAAGTATTAGGAAGAAGCTGCGAAATAATATTGAACTTGGGATGTATTGGTTTTATGGTGGTCCTGTGTTGTAACTTTAACAATGAAAATGAACCATATAGTTAAAGAAGATAATACAAATTCATCCTGAAGTAACTACCACAATGTACTACATTTTAAAATATAGATGTTTATTTTTTCATATCAATGAATGTTCATCAAAAGATCTAAACAGTACAAAATTCTGAATAGAAAGTGTTTGCCATTTTTACCTTCATAGACACATTTAATATTTTTATACCACTCTAGAATTTTAGAATATAGCTAAAGAGATGGCTATATAGTTATACTCAAAATGTGAAGTAATACTGATCCTTCCTTTGAGTCCTCTAAAAATGGATACTTCTCCTCCAAATGTTACAGGCAGCATTTCATGTTAATATACTTTCTTATTTAAAATAGCTGCCTTGTGAGCAATTGTGTAGTTGTAAAATCAACTTTTATTTTAACCAAGGTCTTTGTAATGGGTTGAAACATTAGAAATGTTTCAATGTTATTAGCAATTATTTATTAGAAAATGTCTATATTCCAGTATTTATTACCTGTTTCCCTACTTAGTGTACACACACACACACACACACACACACACACACACACACACACATTTGAGCAACAGATTGCACAGTTCCTCAAGAATTTATACTTGGTGTCAATCTGCCTGGGTTCAAATCCTTTTTCCTCAATTGCTATGCAACCTACAACAACGTTTTTCACTGTAGTTAGCCTAAATTTAAGATGACAATTATATTAATGTTCTCTAGCAATGATCAAATGAAGTAATGTTATGAAAACATTACTGCTGTTCTAGCATCTGGCCCATAGTAGTTGCTCAATATTTGTTGAAAGAATGAATAATTATGTCTTATAGTACTAAACCATAATGATATGCAATCATATACATTGTTATAATAATTTCCATAACATAAATCATGGAAGTTGAATAGCTAGGTTGAAGAATATGATCATTTTATATATTAATACATACTAGATTATCCAAATGTATAATAACAGATTACCTGCAGAAAGGTTCTGAAAATTTACTACCTTATTTAAAAACATAGGCAAGTGCTTCTTCCTTAAATACTGACCTTACAAATTATCTAATTATTTTCATTTTCCATTCCTCTTATTTAAACACATGGTTGACTGCTGCCTTGGAATTACTTGGCTCTTAGTGAGTTGGAGTAGCATTTCTATGTCTCCATCTCTTGCATTTCATTTTTGAATGCCTTGCTCATGCTGCATCCATAGTTATGCTCTAGAATCTTATTTATTTGCAGATGATTATTACTGTTACTATTGTTACTATTACATTGTTTAGATTGAACATAGTTGATGACTTTATGCTCTACAAATTTAAACATTTGTTTAAAATGTTTAATGAAGGTAAAACATGCAAGAAATGTCATACATAAGTATTGAGTACAATTGATAAGGTTTTAATCTGTGTATACACCTATGTAACTGTCATAGAAAAAGCTATAGAAAATTTCCATCTTGAATGTTCCTAGTGGATGCCAGCTCGGTAAACTCAGAAGGATGTCAATACGGACCTCTACAACTGTAGATTAGTGTTGCTTTTGAACTTTCACCTGAAAATTATAACACACAATAGGTGTTCTTGGGTCTAATTTCTTTTGCTAAGCTCTGTGCCTGTGAGATTTAGAGCTGTATTTCTGTTTCTTCAATTTAGAAAATACTTTCCAATGTTTTTTCAAAGTGGGTCTTTCAACTAGTGATATTTGCGAAACACTAGCATGTAGTGTTGTCATATGTTATCTTTGTCATTTTGGTGAATATGTATTGCATTTCCTGGTGATTGATTATACTGAGAACCTTTTTCATGTACTTATTGGTTATGTGGATATGTGCCTTTGTGAAGTGCCTAATTAGAATTTTTTGCCATTTATAAATGGAATAGTTTGTCTTTTTGTTATTTATGGGAACTCTCCAATATTTTAAATACTATTTTTTGACAGATTTAATATATCATCTTCTAGTCTGTGATTTACATTTTTATTCTCTTAATGGTATGTTTTGATCAAAGATTTTCTTAATTTTAATGAAGTCAAACTTAACTAGCTTTCTTTGTACTTTAATAATGTTTGTGTCCTTTTAAGGATACCTACCTACCAACCCTGATATCATGAAGATATTATCATAAACCTTGACCAAAAATTATGATATAAAAAATTAAAATAGACACACAGACCAGTGCAAGAGAACTGAGACCCCAGAAATAAAAACCCCATATATAGAATGGTTATTAAAGTAAAGACCCAGAACATACAATAAAGAAAAGGATGTTGCTTCACCAAATGGTGTCGGGAAAACTTTCAGAATAATAAATTTAGATCACAGTCTCAGACCATAAACAAAAATTAATTCAAAGTGGATTATACACTTGGATGTAAGACATGAAACCATAAATTACATAGACAAAAACATAAACAACATACTCCATGGCATTGACCTCAATGGTGCCTTTGGACACTCAACTCTAATGACAACAAAAGGAAAAAAGAAAAAGGCAAAATGCAAGTAAACAAATGGGACTATATCAAACTAAGATGCATTTGAATAGCAGAAGAAGCCTTTGTTAAATTGAAACACATCCTTTTGGATGGGAGAAAACAACTGACACATCATGCATCTGACGAGTTAATATCCAAAATTTCTAAAGAGCTCATATAGTTCAACAACAGCACAACTGATAACTCATCAAAAATGGACAGGGGATCCAATTAGACACTTCTCCAAAAAAATAAAAAAAGACATACAATGACCAACAGGACCATGATAAAAAGTTCATCTTGACTTATTAAGAAAACACAAATCAAAATCAAAAGGATATATCACCTCTCACCTTAAAAATGACCTTTATCAAGAAGACCAGAAACAAGTGTTGGTGAGGATGTAGAGAAAAGGGCACCCTCATACACTGTTGGTGGAAATAAACTGATGCTGCCTCTATGGAAAAAACAATATGGATGTTCCTCAACAAATTAAAAATAGATCTACAATATAATTCAGGAATTCTTCCCCAGATAGAAAATAAAAATACTAATTTGTAAAGGTAACATGCACTTCTATGCTCAATCCTTCACTCTTTATAATAGCCAAAATTTGGAAACTATCTGAGCGCCCAGGGAAACATGAATGGGCAAATGAGATGTGGCAGATGTATGTGGAATACCAGTCAGTCATAGAAAATACACAATCTTGCCAGTTGAGATAACATGGATAGAACTGGAGGGGATTATGCTGATCAAAATAAGTCAGAAGAAGAAAGACAGATACTGCATGCCACTCATGTGGCTTGTAAAGAAACAAATGAAGAACATTTGAAAACAAATTTAAAAAATTCAGATTCTGATTGTATAAGTGGCATTATCATCAGGTGTGGCAGCCGTGAGGGAGGAGGCACCATGTACTATGGGGGGGGGGGCTTATTGGTAGTTGGGTGGTGGATGTGTTATGGTAACATAGATTTGAAAAAGTATGAATCTGCACTTCTACAACATGCAGGTTGTAAACCAACATTACCTCAATTAAAAAAATTCTACAACTAAACTGAAATTGTTGAATTTTCAAATTCTGGTGTCAAACAAATATAAGACTGATTATAATCCAGTTATTCATCTCTGCTCAAAATAAATATCCTTCAGATGTTTCAAGTTTCTATTCCATCAAATGGTGTATTAGTAAATAATTCACAGGAATAGTATAAAAATTATTGAGATAATATGTGATAAAATATATTCCTTGCCCTATCCTAATTTCTTAATAAGTGACAGCTATTAATCTGAGTATTATATATATATATTTTTTTTGAGAAGCAGGGATAACTATCTTTCAATGAAATTGTTCAAAGATCAAAAGATAAAATGTCTATAAAGACTATTGCTTTAAATTTTAAATGCTCTTAGTTCAAACTAGCTTTTGTGAAGAAGTAATATTTTTAAGGACCTTATATACTTAGAAACTTGGTTTAAGTAATTAGTATATTGAAGAATTTTATAAAGCACTCTGCATGCAGAATTTTTTAATAACACATTAAATCTTTCAAGACTTAGTTCAATATTTAATACCCATTAGTATTTCTAAAAGTGTTTTATTACCCCAAATGTTGCTCAAAGTATTCAATAATGCCATAAATTTGTCCACAATGCACTGTGGGATTGAATGAGTTGCTGCTACTCTACTTCAGTACCCTCAGTGTTGAATTAATGCTTCCAAAAGACAGTGTGGACTGAAGAAGATACTCATTTTAAAACTGAAAAAAAGAAAAATAAGTACTGATTAAAAACATATTGAAAAGTAGTTT